CCCACTCTTTTGGAAACTCATGCTCTTATGTAGGTTGTACCTTCTTCTTACTGTACTCCCTTTCTTCTCTCACCTCTAGCCATTAAACTTCTATAGATCCTTTCTCCAATTCATTAAGATTGATACTTAAACATCAATAAATTTACCCAATCCAAATTTAAAATAAAAGAATCTTTAAAAGCTTCCTTTGCTTAGGAGTTCTCTTTAGCAATTACCTTTTAATCTTTCATAAATTTATCCAATCCAAATTTAAAATCAACAACAATAGTACCCCATTCGAAATACTAAAAATCCCTCTCAAAAGAAAATGACTTACACTGTCTGCTACAAAAATGAATGTAAAAATATTTAACAAGGATGACAATAGAAAAAAAGCGAGAAATATCCATGCCTTTCAAGAACCACAAAACTCCACCTATTTACATCAAATGCTTTTTTTTATTTATTTAAAACCCAGATCTAGATTCTTCTTGACATCTCATGGGTTCTCTTAGAGAACCTAGATTTGGGTTATCCTTCTACTGATCAAGGAGGCAAGCGGAGAAATGGTCATTGGGAAAGAAAGAGAAGGCGAGGAGACAAGTAAATGGAATTTGAGAAATTTTAACCTTGGGCATTGCATTGAATGGTGTTGTTGTGGATAAGCGGGGATAAGTTTTTAACAAGAAAATATTGTATTTTAATCTTTAAACCAAGGATGTGTAAGAGGGGGTGCCGGCTTGATGGGTAAAAAATCATTTCCCATAATAAAATCATCCACTAATTATTTTCAACTTATTAATTTTTTAAATTTAAAATTTTTTAAATTAAATTAATTATTATATTTTTAATCTTTGAAGACTAATTATGTAAATATTATATTCTTACTTTAATAAAAAGTTAATGGATTCTGTTAATTTAAAGGCTAAAATCTTCAAATACTTAAATTCAAGAATTAAAAACAACATACTATAAAGTAAAAAATTAAAACCTTAAAATTTATTAAAATAATGGGTTAAATGCATATTGTAACTAAGACTACTAGCTAGAAATATAAGACTATAGAGATTTTTTATTTTTTTTGAATGGTTACAACTTTAGAATTGAGGGATTCAAAACTTAAGGGTTGGGTTTAGTGCACCTATAACATGGCTTATAGGCATTGAGCCAAGCAGGTCAAGTGCATGAGACTGCACAGATGGATAATAGGGAAAGGGATGATATGCATTATGAGCCTATTTGATACAGCTTGTTAGAGTTTTGCTTTTTTTTTTTTATACTGTTCATGAATGATAAATTTAATTTTTTTTTAAGGGAAAATTTAAAGGTTATTTTTAGAAATAGGAAAAAGTTAGTAAAAAGTGAATAAAAAGTGAGTAAAAATAAAATTTATGAAAAGAAAGTTTTGATTTTTTATTGTTTAAGGTCTTTTTAAGGTTAAAAAATATTTAAAAATGTAAATTTGTAGGAGAAAAATTTTAATTTATGAAATATGAATAGTGTTAAAAAGTTAAAGCACTTGGAAAGCTGCACCAAACAGACCGATCCTATGTCACCTTTTCCTTAGGTCTTGTTCACCCTACTCTCTCCCTCGCTTGAATTTTTTAGAAAGAAAATGGTTCCACCACCTCTTATTTGGACACATATCCTAATATCTAATTTATTAAAATATAATATAAATATAATGAGTTGAATTGATTCTCTTATATGTTATATGAATGATTATAATTATAATTTTTTAATTTTTTAATTTTTGATTAAAAATAATAATATTTTAATAAATATATTGTGAAATATATGTTAAATCATAAAGTATATGTATTATTACCTTCCTATAAATATGCTTTCATACTTCTACTGCTTAAATTTTGTTTTTCTTTCTCCAATAGCGGTGGGTTATAGCAACTTTAGTCTATTTTACTTATCTTTTTGGTATTTACAATTAGGGCTTTTCATATCAATTTTCACGTATTTTAAAACTAATCTATTTCTTGACAATCTTATAAGTGTACATTTTACATTAGACTGATACATTCAAGAAAATTAATTTTCTTAAAAAAAAAATTAAATAGAAGATTTTAATTTCCTTGGACCTTCTGTTTCATTTTTCTTTTTATTCCTGAGGTTATGAAATTATGAATCAAGGGATATTGGTAGACAAGTTAGTAAGGCAAAGTTTTCTCATTAATTAATTTGTTAACTGGCATTCATTTTTTTTTTGGAAGAAAGACCATGAAAAAAATACAATAATTTTTTAGTAATTTTTTCTCGGTTTGAATGAACCTGTTTATGTAATAGTCTCAATTCGAATGACAATTGGACTGAAAATATGAATTTAATATGTATGGTTCACGAGAGTTGATTTTCTTTTTTTTTTAATGTTAGTTGCACAATGAGAGGCAACTCTCTCACATTCTTTATCTTATTCCACTTACATATCATGCAATTCAGATTTAAAATTCTTACTTTTAACGAAAGAAAATTATCACTAAACTCAAGGTGTCTAATACCACTACTACCTAGCTGTTATTAAATAATAATAATAATAATAATTTACATGAGTTCCTAACTCCTGCACCTTGATGCTACAATCTTAGTTTCATATATGTTCTTTTTTTTTTTCCCCATCAAATTTCTAAAAGTCATCTCATAGGCCGATGCCCTCGAACTAATTTAACTGCCATTCAAGCCCGACCCAATAATGATCCCATCTGGGGTTTACCATATCGGGGGTTGGGTCAGTTTTCAACTAGGTCTATGGTGGGTTGAAGAAAGCCATCTTTAAACTCTAGGCCCTATAGATTGCGACAGAAAGATAGTGCAAACTGCAAAGTTGAAAGGGGTGGTTGTTTTGAATTTTTAAAGATAGTTATGTACTGTTAATTTTAATCAGATGAATTAAATATTTTAAATTATAAATATTAATAAGTATTAATTATTAAATACCAATAATCAATTATTAATTGTTTTGAAAAAGCTAATTCATACCCTTTATAAAACCAACAAACCCAATAATGGGTTCTAGACTTCTCAATTCGAAGTCTTGACTTGAATTAGGCTTGGACTTTAGTAATTCGTTTTCAAACCTAAATGTTTAGATTTAATTGATTAAAAATTCAATTCTCACCAATTTAACTTTAATAAAGAATTGATTTTTTTTTATTAGTTGTACAACGGGAGATAATCTTCTCACATTATTTATCTTATTTTACTTCTATGTTATACAATTCGAATTCAAAATTTCTTATTTTCACTTTCGACAGAAGAAGATTACTGTTGAACTCAGGGCCTCTAATACCACTACTACCCAGCCGTTATTAAATAATAATAATAATAATTTACATGAGTTCCTAACTCCTGCACCTTGATGCTACAATCTTATTTTCATATATGTTCTTTTTTTTTTCCCCATCAAATTTCTGAAAGTCATAGACTCATCTCATAGGCCCATGCCCTCGAACTAATTTAACTGTCATTCAAGCCCGACCCAATACTGATCCCATCTGGGGTTTACCATATCGGGGGTTG